ACACCATGCACATCTCGCTGTCCACCACCGGCCACCGGAGAAGAGCGGAAGACCGGCGACTTGGGCGGCGCCCTGTGCAGGCATGCTGTTCAGCCAGCCGCTCGCGACGCTGGCCAAGTTCAACCTCGAGAATGGCAGTGGCCCGGATATCTACGGCATCTCAGAGATCGACGGCTTCAACTTGCTATGCGGCTCGCCGGCGTGATGCGTGTGCGTTGTCCGGCGTTGTACGTACGTGTGTTGTGTTGGCATGTTGATGCATGCATGCTTGTGTATTGCCTATTGATGTATCCGTGTGGCTCGGCCGGCGGTATGCGCGTACATGCTTTGGATTAGAAGCTCGCCGGCTGATGTGTGTGTACTGACGAGATGAGCAGCTAGACGACGACAGGTAGACCCATCCGTCGTCTTGAGCCCCGTCCCTACCGCAAGCGCGACGAGCTCCGGTCATGAGCGCCGCCGGCGGTGTCTTTTTTTTCCTGTAAAAAAGCTTTACCGAGTGCACCACTCGGACAAACATTTGTGACAGCTGGCAAACTGACTGATTTCCTCCGTTTTCGTTCTCCGTTAGTAGCTTTTTTACCGAGTTTAAACCTTTTACCGAGTTTAAACCTTTGTCGAGTGTCTGATAAATGGTTCTCGGTAAAATTCTGTTTGCCGGAAGGGGGTACGCCGGATGTCCTTCGCCGAGTGCAACACTCGGCAAAACCTTTGCCGAGTATTTTTTGCCCTTTGCCGAGTTTTTCTGGCACTCGGTAAAGGCGTGGATTCCAGTAGTGCCAACGGGATCCTAAAATTCAACCGTCTAGATAGTTTAATCTATCTCATGCTATCTTCAACACGTGGTCCTAAGATAAAAATCACACCCCCATGACACACCCTATCATTCTGACGGACCCTCCGTTCCGCTTGGTTTCCTACCGTAGCGCGACATTTCTGACTGGAGCCCTCTCCTTTAAAACCGTTTGACGCCCACCTCACATTCTCCATGGAGCCATCTCTCCTCCACATTGCACTTCCCCACTGGCCACCAAGGAGTCCCTTGCCAACCGCCCCGCTCC